AATTTGTGGGGATTTGTGGCAGTTGTGGTGGCGACGACTGGTTGGGGATTTTTTTGTGCTAGACTTGTGGAGGTCATGGTAGCGTGGTGGATTTGTGAAAGTTTTGTGGTTGATCTGCTATGGGTTTGTGGAGATCATGGTGGCAACGATTGTTTGGGGATTTTTTGGTGGGGGTGGTGGAGATGAATATAGAAGAGATGGTAGATGTGAGGTGGGGTGGCGACCGTGATAGAGAGATGGTGGTGGCGATAGTTGCGATAGTGGTGTATGGTTATAACGGTAGCTGTGATAATTTTGGATATAATTTTTGTTGATGTTTGGATGGTGTGGTTGTGATGTTGGCTGCGGTGGTGAGGTGCTGGGGATGTTGGTGGTGATGGGGATGTGGCGGTGGTTTGTTAGTGGTTGGGTGATTTTTTATTTTATTTTTTGAATGACGGTTTTGTTGGTGTTTGAGTGGCGATTGTAGTTTTGCGGGATCTAGTAATGGTGATAGTGATATTGGTTGTGGTAGTCGTGGCGATGGTCGTGGGTGGGATGAGATGGAGTCTAATGCTTGTGATCAATTATTTGGTTGATTATGACTAATAATTGGTTAATTTGTAATATGTGACATAAAAATTGTGACTGTGACTCACAATTAATTAAGTTGTGATCAAAAAATTAATTGTAATCAATTAATATAATAATTTGCAACGAATAAATGAGTTGTAACCAATAAAAGTTTTGATTCTGTGATCGATGAATAATCTATGACCTATAAAATTATTGATTCGTGATCGAAAAATAATCTGTGACCAATAAATTTTTTATTTGCGATCGAGAAATAAGTTATGATCTATAATTTGACAAGTTGTGATTAAAAATTAATCTGTAACTAATTAATTAGATAACTATGATCAAATTGTATAGAATTGTTACATCAATATATTTAATTAGTAAAATATATGTTTAGTAAATTAATTTATAGATAAAATTTTAAAATATCTGATTTTTGAAATTTAAAACTTTATATCTTAATTTTGAAATGTGCAATACTTAATCTCTTATTTATGAAATTTTTTCTCGTTCTAATCCAATTTTTTGTTGGCTTTAACCAGGTAAGGAATAAATAAAAAGTAGCTAATAAAACAATTCTTAAATCTCATGTTTAGGAATTTAATTAATTCAAATTTTTCAAAATTTTGATTTATGTTGTAAATAATATGACTATTAGTGAATGACAGTTTTATTCCTGTAGCCCTAATTTTTATTACTATTGTATTCATAATTATTCCTAAAGTTTATTGACTTCTCTACTTTCTTCTCTTTTTCCCTAATTTATAATATGTTATTAACACAATTATCTCAAAATCAAAGTGAAATAGTTAGAAGATAATAATTAGCATAATCACATATTATATGTATCGAAATTAATTTGGTGGCGTGTGAATTTTTTATATATATACATATGCATGAATTATTATTATTTATGCCCACCAATTACCACAATTCAAAAAATTCATTTTTTTCATGTGTATGTTTGAAATTCTTTGTCGAATTCTTGACTGCATTTATTTCTTGTGCATGCTCATGACTGCATTACTCTGTGGGATTCAATTTTTTATTTCCTATTTGGTATTCTTTGTGGAATTCATGTGCATATATTAATTATAATGTTGTGTTATTCCAGGAGCAACAATATTTTATATATATATATGGAATAACACAATATTATAATTAATATTTTAAGAGAGTACTATTTGCTCCTAAAGAGAATGAATTGTGATTTTCTATATTTTAGAAAAATATTGATATATTGCTCTTGAAAAATGAATAATAAAATATAAATTTCTCTTAAAGTAGTACATTTTCAAGGAATATGTATCTCATTGTATTCCTAGATAAGCACAACACACACTATTCTAAAAGAATATTATCTGCTCATGAAGAGCATGACATTATGATTTCAATGTTTCTAAAAAATATTGACTTATTACTTAGAAGAAACATACTTCTATAGTGAATTAATAAATGAAGAATGATCAGTTGTTATTTTAGAATGAAATATGATTAAGAATAATTCATAAAAATATTGTAGAATTGTTTGAATCAATTAATACATATCAATATTCTAACAATAATATTGTGTTGTTTTGAAAGAAACACAATTAAATGCTTATTAATATTTTTGAAGAATCGCAATTTAAACATTTTAATGTAAAAAATGTACTGATCTTAAAAAATTGTAATTTTAATTAAATAGCTTCTGTTATAAAATGAGAGGAAAAGATAATAGAGAAAGCTCAAAGAGAATAGAGAAAATTCAATAAACTTTTTGTGTATATTATTGAAAACCAAAGCCTACAATGATAATAATTTCTAGGGCTATAGGGGTACAAATTTCATTCACCAATAAACTTTAATGGACTTTCCATTTACAACACTTCCTCTTGAATGACATATTACAAAATATCTGTCTCGTTAAAACCTTGTTTGATAAAAATCCAATGGAAAAAAAATCAAAGGAAGGAAAAAGAGTACAGTTATTTTGGAGTATTAAAATTAAATGCTGCCTCATTAAAACCTTGATAGGAAAATCCAATGGGATAAAACCTAAGCGAAGGAAAAAGAGTACAACTACTCCCCCTGATGTTGATCACTGAAAATTTTTGAGTCGACGCATTCCAATTTCATGAACTAATTTCTTGAATGTAGATGTTGGTAACGCTTTTGTGAATAGATCAGCCACATTGTCACTTGAGCGAATTTATTGAATATCAATATCACCATTCTTCTAAAGTTCATGTGTATAAAAGAATTTTGGAGAAATATGCTTCGTCCTATCGCCTTTGATATAGCCTCCCTTGAGTTGTGCGATACAAGTTGCATTATCTTCAAACAAAATTGTTGGATTATCTTTTGTTGAAGTCAATCCACATGATGATTGGATATAATGGGTCATATTCCCCAACCATACACATTCTCGCCCTGCTTCATGGATTGCAATAATCTCAAAATGATTTGAGGATGTTGCTGTCAAGGATTGCTTCACAGATCTCCATGATATAGTTGTTCCTCCACGTGTAAACACATATCGTGTTTGTGATTTAGCTTTATGCGAATCGGAGAGATAACCTGCATCTGCATATCCCACTAAAGCAGATACTGACTTTTGAGAATAAAACAGTCCCATATCAATAGTACCTTTTAGGTAACGGAAAATATGTTTAACACCATTCCAATGTCTTTGAGTTGGTGTAGAGCTATATCTTGCAAGAAGATTTACAGAAAAAGCTATGTCAGGTCCAGTGCAATTTGCAAGATAAGTTAATGTTCCAATTGCACTAAGGTATGGTACTTCAGGACCAAGAATCTTTTCTCCATCTTTAAGTGGATGAAATGGATCTTTTTCACATCAAGTGATTGAACAACCATAGATTATGGCAATGGATGTGCACTATCCATATAAAAGCGTTTCAAGACTTTTTCTGTATAAGTAGATTGATGAACAAATAATCCCTCTACAAAATGTTCAATTTGTAATCTAAAACAATTTGGTTTTCCCCAAATCTTTCATCTCAAATTCATTTCTCAAATAATTTGTAATTTTGTTGAGCTTTTCAGGAGTTCCAATTAAATTTAAATTATCAAC